ATGATCTTTTTTGTTTCCTAATGAATCTGGCTTTCTAAGCAAATTTTATAGGCAATGGAATTATTTGAAATGAATTGAATATATTGTCAAGTGCCAGAGATGCATGTGTTTTCTTTATGGACTTATAAATTGAAAAGGGGGATCTTGAATTAATTTAAACCAAAATACAAAGGAAAAATTCAAGGTGCCATAGTCCATTAATGTTGTTTGCCATTGTCTCATCAGTTGTTGCGGATAAAGAAGCATTCTTGGAGAATAATCTGATTTGTTCTGAACTAACGCTTCCTGATATTTGACTGTACGTGTTCTCAAAATATTTGGCTTAATTATGCACAATTTTAATATGATGGATAGGGAAACTTGGATTCTGTTTGGTTTTGGATATTTGTCTTATATTCTTTTCTGATTTATAATTAAATCTTGTAAGTACTAATTGTTTTGGGTTAAAATAGAGAACAGATTGTTTTGTTTGGAAATACAGGAGAATGAATTTGATTGTTGTTCTATGTAAGGTATTAAGGTTAAGTGACTACCTATTTCCCTCTGAGAACATGAATTTAAAATCCATTATGCTGGAAAACCTTTTGACTAGATTCATATCAAAGATTTTGATCAGATCTTCTAGAATCTAGACGTACTGAGAGTTATGGCACAGTTGAGTGAAAAGTTCACTTATAAATAAGCTCATATCAAGAGTGTGGTATTCAAAACGTTTAGCTCTTAGGTTTCACTTTCTTTCAGAATGTGCTTGTACTAAGCTTTATTAGTCTAGTGTTTTGTCATTATTCTTTCAGTTTCTTTCAGAAGATTACAATTTACATGGAGAGGTAAAGTGAAATAACTTGGAAAATAGGATAATTACGGGGGAGTGAACCAAGAAGAATCAGAGAGGCTACATCTTTATTTCAATTCATCAAAATGTATAACTAAGTATAATGCATAAGAACATTTATATAGACTCTAAGAACCTAAGCTAAATATGACTCCTAATAGGACTTTTAATAATAAAACGACAATCTTTTTAATGAATAGTAAAAGACATAATCTGATCGTAATAATAGAGACAGGAAACTAATAACCTAAGTAATATCAACATTCTAAAATTACATAGAATGCAAGTTAACCCATAAATAAGCATATAATTATGTAATAGTACTACATAATATAAATAATTCCTCCTAGTATTCTTTTGATTGCATCAATAAGTTTTTGCTATGGACCAAAAGAACTCATGAACGATCCTAATTGGAGGGCAAAGGAACGTAAATGTCTGTAGTTTGTTCCAACACTAGAGAACTTTTTGGCAGGTGTGATTCATGAGTCAGTCTCACCGGAATGTTTCTTGTTTAAAACTTTTCTGGTATCAACTCATAGCGCCACTAATGCCAGATTGAGCTGGTGGAATTTGTGAATTATAACCTCATCCTACATCTGTCATAATGTCTAACATAACTCATCTTGGCCAAATATTGTAAATCAAGAAATACCAGGGCAGTTGGCTCAAAGAAAAATCTGGGGCACAACTAGTTTTTCAACACAGAGTTCTGCTTACTTATTTCTCTCATGTCATTCAAACTTTATCTTTTATGCTATCAACAGGACCAGCCTCGACTTTATATATGAAAAAATGTGATTTACAATAGGGATCTGTCTTCTTCTTCTTTTAAGT